CCCCCTACCTCCATTTCTTTCGCAAAGTCCGTGGAATGAGAGTGGGTGCATGGAAAGCGGTCAAAATTTCAGCTTCCCCTACTATGTGGACCACACTGAACTCATTTCTGTTATCATATTTTCTTTTCAAATTGATACAGACTCTTGTACCACCGCGTATGAACCCTTATTGAGTATTTGGTCTGGGAAGTACTGTGGTTAATGCTCAGTGCCGACTCAGAGTTCAGAAAATAGCAGCAGAATGCCCTTGGCAAAAACATTTCACTAACTTTTTCTCATCAATTCTGATAATTTGGGCTTTTTTTCGTCGTTAAATCTGTTTTGTCCACCTTATTCGTAAGAGTAACAATCGCTGGTACATCATGGGTACTTTAGCTATCGGGACACGTTACCGCGCATCAACTCATGGCCCAGTTTCGTTCGAAATAGCTGAAAATTCCAGATTTCCAGTTCAACCCACAGATCCTGAACATGTGCTAGTGTTCGAAGATTCTCCAAACGGAGGTAAAGCCGCTAAGGCCGCAGGAATGCAGTGCGTAATGGTCCCGGAGCCAAAGTTTCGCCAGCAGTGCCTCGACTTGAAGTAGGTTTATTTTTTTAGTTCTTCATGATCATGTTCACTAACATCTATGATATCTAGGTTGCGTTTATACTTTGCGATTGTTAAGAATCCGCTGCTTTGCGGCTGTTGAGACTTCGTCAGTCAGGAGTACGCGCATTATTCCGATCCACGGGTTCTCAACCTTTGCTATTTTAGCCAATCGCAAAGTATGAAAGCGGTCTTACGTGGAAAGCTTGAAGCGGGTAGCGGCTTTGGTGCGAACGTAGTTGACTCGGTTGCACCTCGGTGTCCCTTCTCGTAACCAGGGCTTAGGCTCAGAGCACAGACACCAAAGTCGTCGAGGGATAGCCACGCCTAGAAGACATAGTTGCTACCAACAATAAAAATAACCCAGGGTTCAGAAAGGGACGCAGAGGCGCTGTCGCATAGCCCAGCTTGACTACAATAGCGAAGTAGCTTTTACTAATACTTTTGATTGCAGTGTAACCAAAGTGCTGTCGAGTCTGAAGGATTTTGTTCCGGAAGAATTTGGTTTACCGCCTTTCGACTAGTCTTAACCTCACTATAGTGCACTGTACCCGGCGAAAGTATCGCTAATTTGTCAGAGCTTTCAATTGTAGGATTATTTCTATTAGGTTGTTCATTTACTTCAGCAAGCAATCACTCTTACTTGTAGCCGTTATCATTCGATGGTTCTAGAATTAGATCCGCTCTCTTCTTTTGAATGGTTTTACATGTTTAGAAGGGGAATTTGTCTAGCTGCACATCACTTAGCTAATTACTTTGCAGCTCCCTGATTAATCCTTACATTTCGATTCGTATTTGATTTTACTGTGACTACATATCACTATAACTTTATACTAGGCGAAATTGTCCTCTGGAGAACAGTACGTGGTTACTCGGTGTTGTTAAATCATATCTATTTATTTCGCTGAATGAAGATTTCTATGCACAAGCTGCGTCATTCGTGTATAACATTTGCGTTGTTGTGCGCAGCAGTACAGCTTGTTTTATGAACACGCGTGCTTACATAACACATCAATACTTATCCTTTACTGCGTATCTTTTCACAATTGAGGCGAAGTTTTGGTGGGAATTCTCGCCCACGGGGTATGTAATTTGACCTTCATGTCATCTAAACCAGTCCTTGGTGCGAATGTCAGGCGCGAGACGTCGCTTACAAAGTGTGAAAGTGGGAAGAATAGTAAATAAAACATTACCCATACCTCTTGAATACGAACTAGGATATGCATACTTATTTGACGTACAGGCGCTAACGTGGTTGGAGGAGACCACTCGCCAGAATTTCCGTATCCACTCCCCTAATCGAGGCTTGGCTTTATTGGAGACAATGTCCACTCTGTGGAACCATCTCTTGGCAACTCTGGTCGTTCCTGACCCTTTTGGGGGAAGGGGTGGAATGCAGAGGCGCAAACGTTTGGTCCCCCTCCCTAAATACGTTAGCGTCCCCGGAGCCTACTGCTTTTTTATGGGTGCCGGGTAGTTAAACCAATTGTGTTCAGTACAGTCCGCACCGCTCCGCAGTCAATTAGTGCCTGTCAGCGTTTCGAGCGACCTGGAAAGTATAGGAAGGCTGGCGGACGCTCAAAACGCTGGATCGATACCTATACTTTCCCTATAGCTCGAAGCGCTGCCACACATGAAGGCAGTCTAAGGTGTTGTGGTTTTGGTAGTTTATCACTGCTACTTTCTCTATGCGTTTTTATGGCCAGTCTATTCCTTATAAAAAAGTTCATTAAGTGCTATCGTTACTGCAGGAGGTAACGATTCCTTCTTATTCTTTTGGTGTTATTAAGGTGAAAGAAATAATCAACCTACCTAGAGTTGAAGGCAGAATGAGGTTGAATGATTCTGGAAATGACTAGAGTCCAGCTGCAAGGAGCTGATCATTTGGCCAGCGGATAATTGCTAATTTTTGAGACTGTTAGCACGCGTGTCTACAAGCCTCGGTTACGACACAGGACCGAGGGTAAATGTCCCTCGGTCTTCACTGCGCAACGTTCTGCATTTGCGAACCAAACCGCGACAAGAGGCACTTATAGTCTGTTTCGCTGCGGATGATGAGGCGTGTACGCGCGGCTGCGTTTGGCGTGGCGCTAACCCGTTTTTTCCTTTTTCGGCGAGGGACAGGACTTATCCTACATTCGTATCAGTCGTTTTTCACCAGTTGTTGTCACTCACACGCTTAAGCAGCTGACGCAGGACGGATTTGGCGGCTTGCCAAACACAGCCGCTGACACGCCCTGTGTTCCGCAGCGAACCAGACTGTTGTTGGCTACGAATGATGGGGCGTGTCAAAAAGATGGGCTTAGCCGGCGCCAGCCTGTTTCTTTTCTCTTTCTCTTCTTTTCTTTCCGGTAAGCGAAAAGGAGTATATCATATCGTTCGCATCAGTTGTTTTCCGCCAGCCAGCTCAAGCAACTGATGGGGAACGAACTGGCGCCGCGCCAATTAGAAGCAAAGAAAAACAAACATGGGAAAGGAATACACTCCACAACACAGATGATCCGTTTCGCTCGGTATCGCCAGTCCTCCTCCTGACACACCCAGCGTCTGCAGCGATAACGTCGGTAGCGTTTGAGTAGGTAGCTAAAAGACGGTCTGAGAATGTCCGCGCTCTATATTAAGGCCGACCAGTTCCTGTAGGAGAAAGCAAGTGCTTGCAAGCCAGTGAAGGACGCCACAACCATCAAACTGGTGACGAGTGCGACAGAATACACAAAATTAGAATCGAAGCTACATACTGGTGCTTTCAGCGCAAAGACCTAAGCTCGTGATCAAGATGATGCTGGCAGCCAATGTGAGACATTTGCATTCGCTTGGAAGTACTCACTTGGCAAGGACTGGACTGGCAACACTACAGGCACGGCTTCTTAGTCAAAAGTGACTATTCTGAAATGTCTCTAGTCAAATATTCATACTCAAGAAAGTGGATGCAAATCTTTTCTGCGGATAGGTGGCGTAAAGCCACTCTCAAACCCAGAGGTGTCTCTGAGATACCTGAAGGCAGTCTCGTAGACTGACTATAGGGTGACTTAATTACTATCGCATTACTGAATCTGTGATTCACTATTTGAACCGTGTAACAAGTTATTAGATCATTAACAAAAGTCATTTTTCACATGCTTCAACCTCTCGCGAAAGACGTCACCAGCCAAAATCAAGCACTTATTGCCGCTAACTTAGTTTGCTGTGGAGGTGAGGAGGGGGGGGGTTGCGTGAGGAAACACGTTACAACTGGTCTGTATCCTTTCCCCCACTCTCACGCACAGCAAGGCGCAAAAGACCCAAGTCCCCACGATCTAGTTTTGCAGAACAGACGTCTTGCTGCAGCATGCCCCCTCCTCCTCGTTTCCCCGAACAACATCAACAACCATCTATTCATAAGTTACCCACTAGGGATGAGGCATACCCTTTTTCGAGTGGGTAGACAGTTCAAGCAATTATAATTGAAGCCCGAGATCTGTGCTTGGAAAGACACGCTGTACGCTAACCTGGCCATGATAGATGAGTTCTTCCCGTGATCAAGATGAACAGGTCCGTTGCTGATGAATCTTGCCACCTTTACCTTCCGCAAAGACGCGGTAATGAAGCTGGGGATAGTTGTAGCCAGGCGCGCTTTCATACCGCGCGTACATCACGCCATAGGCACACAACACTCCGCGCTACCGACCACAGTCTATCCAGGCCAGACGCGCTACTTGTCCATACTCTTTCACGTTTGACTAGGTTGCCGTTGTTCTCTACTGCTTTTTGGCTGCGTACCTAGGCAGTTTGCCAACAATTTCGCCGCTGAATCGATGACAAATGTCATCGTGACATATTCGTAGTGGCTAATAAGATGTCGTCTGACAACGAGCTGGAAGCGGAACTGAGGACCACGGTTTAGAGCATCGCTCTTTCTGTGGATATATTGGTGCTGAGCACGGAAGTGAAGGTATTCTCTGCGTCGGAGAACTCTCAATATGATCCTTTTCAATGAATAGTGACTTCAATCCTACCTTTCTGCCTACCGTTCATTCCCAAAAAAGTAGGTAAGGCAGTCCAATCATTACTGGTTCGGTTCGGGGCAGTCCTACCATTGGTGAAAAATTGTGCAAAATACGGCCTCTCCAAAATTTTCTTCTCTTGTGCAAGCCTCTCCGTCCCCTCCTCATCTCTCATTGCACCTACCATCGAAGAAAAACGTGAAAATTCAACAACTGAGAACAATTTTTTCGAGGCGACTACTCCTCTATCTTTAGCAACCAAATATGGCACCCTCCCCTCGCTGGGGATCCGCAACGTACGACGTGCCCTGGTTCCTGCCAGACGATAACAGGGCTGCGAAAATATCTTAATATATCCATCAACGTCACATGGTTCGTAATCGGCTCTGTGACACCTTGTGTGGCACTCCCAGTGTGTGGGTTACGTGACATCTTGAACTTTTGTGCATGGTCCTGTTACGAAACCCTGTGACGCAGACGGATAGAGGGCAGCGGCTGCCAAAGCATCGAAACGTGCAAAAAACGTATGGCGAGCCAGGAACGGG